TAAATTTGTAATATTCTTAAGATGTTTGTTTGTATATTGGCCCAAATATTCAAAGGCCCTTAAAACCGATTGTTAAAATTTCCTATACTTTCTTTTTCTTTCTTTCTTTCTTTTTTTAATTTCCTGGCCTTTAAATAGGATAAGATTTGTAAGCTGATTCTGAAAAGCTTAAGAACTCAGTTTTAAAATTTTAGCTTTTACAAATTGAACACTGTATTTTAAAATGAAAGATAACTCTATAAACAGGCTTTTCTGGACACAAAGGCCACCTCCATGGGCATCAAAGGCCTAACCTATTACCAGGGGTGCCTGGCTGGCTCAGTTGGTAGAGCATGTGACTCTTGATCTTGGAGCTGGAAGTTTGAGCCCCACATTGGCTGTACAGATTACTTAAAAATAAAATCTTAAAAATAAAAACAAACAAAAAAACAAACAAAAACTAACCTATAACCAGTCAATTTGGAGTCAATTTGCTAAATTTTCAGGAGTTTTACAAGCTGGTTGTTACCATAGTGTTATTAAAAATTAGTACAATTAAATTACATTAAAAACAAAGGTAATAAATAATCTAAATGTATCAGTTCCTGACTATTTTACTACATTTTCTCATCATCTATATTCTTGAGGTTATTTTTTCTATTTTATCTCTAAGGTGGAAATTATAGTTGCATGCTATCCCATTTCTTCCTAATTCTGCATTCAGTGATGTCATGTTAGTAGTGTGAAATCAGCCATGTTGGGTGTATTTGCACCACGGAAGTAGGTAAACTTGATCAATCAGGGCTCCGTGGATTAAGAAAAGCCTCATGAAAACAATGACCTGATACTCCAGTAAAGGAGCCACACTCCAAAGGGGAGAAGACAAATGAAATAGTATATAAGTGCTAAAGGACTGTAGAGCTCACCTAATATCCTAGGGCAGTCCATAAAGACTCAGACAGAATACAAGAGGAGTTCTTTTTTTTTTTTTTTTTTTTTTTTTTTTTTTACACAAGAGGAGTTCTAAAGACAGTTGAGTATGCTTGAATATGTTTGAATAGAACAGTGTTCACAGAGACAGTGACATGAAATAGGTACGAAAAGTAAACTGGGACAAGACTGAAACAGTGAGAAATGGCAGCCTGTAAAATGACTGGGACTTACTGCAAATGTCATTCTAAGGGTTTGGGCCATTACCTACAAGGCAATGAGGAGCTACTGAAGGTTTGAGGGTAGGAGGGGACTTTAATTTGGCAACAATGTATAGGATTCAGTAAAGGTAGTGAAACACTTTTATTTTTGGAAACTGCCAAAAAATTGCACCAAAAAAAACTGCATTACATATAATAAACAAAAGTCTTCAGTTAGGTGTTAAAGAATCAATTAAAACTCAAAGCTCCAACGAATACAAACTCTGTGATTCTATGTATATAAAATGCAAGGTCATCTACTCTGACAAAAAGCAAATACATGGTTGCCAGGTGCTAGAGGAGAGATAAACTACAAAGGAGCACAAGGGCTCTTGTGGGTGACAGAAATGTTCTGTTATCTTGATCGAGATGGGTGCACAGAACTGTGGAAACTTATCAAATGGTACACTTTAAATGGATGAAGCTTACTGTACTCAAGTTTTCCCCTTGAACCTGATAAGAAAAAGAATTACAACTCAAACAACTTAATCAGACATTTGATGTTATTTAGGCATAAATGGAAAAGTTATGCAAATGATGGCAGTTTTAGAAGAGTAGAACCAAACTAGTTTCCCTCTTTCCACCTGATTAGCTCTCAGTATCTATAGTCGCTGCCAAGTCTTTTCCCCAGATATCATGTACAGGTAAAACCTCAGTTCCAAACCTTCCCTCACCCCACGGCCATGCTATCCAATCCCTTCCATCCCCTCCTAACAATCTCTAGGAGTTTGCTCATTTTCTTCATCTGTATTATGGGAGTAATATTACCTACCTCACCAATATATAAAACACTTCACACATAGCAAGAGCTCAAAACAATTATTATTTGCCTTAATCATTTTCTACACACTTATGCTCCTTGAAGGCAGAGTTTTCTCATTTATCTTTGCATCTCTCTCATTTTACCTAGCATAAGTTACAATGAATAGTAGGCCCAAAGTACGGATTTCTTCAAAGAAACGTCTGTGGCTCCTAGAAATTCAGATATGAAGAGAACACTATACCACAAGTGAGAATCAGAAGTGTTACCATAAAGGCACAAACGTTCCGTGCCATTTGAAAAGAATGATTACTTATAACTGAAGGAATTACGAAACATGTCTAAGAGGTGACACTGAGCTAGGTGAAGTCTGAAGGGGAGTAAGGGAAGGGTACATATCCACTTCCCTAAACAGTAATTAGCAATAGTGTAAAACACAGGTCCAAGAGAAACATCTTCAACAGTGACATGTTAAATTCTTAACAGTGAAATACTATAAAAAGGTCCAAGGCAAGCCAAAGTAGGCTCTACACACTTCGTGCAGAGGAGCAATCTTTTCTAATGACTACATAATTACAGCAGTGTTCCAGTACCATCTGGCAAATGGTCTAGAAGTTCAAGATGGAGTAAGGAAGGTTTAAGGACAAAATCAGAAGATCTGAATTTCAAGATCCCTGTGCCACTAATAGTGGGCAGTAAACCCTAGGATTCTGAGGGCTGCCACCTTCCTGCTAAGCGGACTCAAGGGCAAGTATTACTACCGTTCCAACTCTGAAGTCAGAGGTGGTCCAGGGAAAGGCATGGCAGCCCGCTGGGGCCCAGATGTACTAGAAGGGTTGCCACGAGCTGAAAGCAGCACAAGGGCTTTTTTGTGGGGCCTACACCCGCCTTCCCGAGCATCCCAGAAGCCAGTGTAGCGCTGAACTGCTAAACCTAGTCGCCGGAATTGATCGGGAGTCGCTGCGATTGCAGGAAACACGAGTTTGCCGCCTTCCCAAGTCTCAAATGCTAAGCAACCCCAACTCCCACTTAGAATGCGCCCTGAGGTTTCCATTTCCTCTCCTGCCTCGTTAGGAGGAATGGAACGTTAAGAGCCGGCTTCCCGCTCCGCCCCTGGCAGGCCCGGACGCAGCTAGGGGCTAAACACAGGGGGCGGACAAAGCGACCTCTGGCCACACGCTCCACAAAGACAAGGAATGATCCAGCCGTCAGACCCACTCAGGCCCTCGCACAGGGGGCCAGAGGTCTGCCGGGCTCCGCAGGGGCGGCGTCGAAGGGAGACGGGGAGCCCCGGGAGACAGTGGGCGGCCAACCTCACCTGCCGCTTGTTCATTCGCCGCACATCGTCCAAAAAATCTAGAGACAGCATGGCGCGGCCGGCGAGGGGCACACGAGCAGCGGAGAAGGCGCGAAGTGACCAGCGGGCGGAACGGCTGGCGCACCGGCCGGGCTCTCAGTGGACAGGACCCCGCGGCGCCCGCATTTCCGCTTCCGGGGCGGGAACCGGCGCTCCCTTCCCCCTCCCCGCCCAGCGCGTCGCTGCCGAGAGCACACAAAGGGACTCGCGACTCTCCTAATCTGGACTCCCGGCCTCGTCTCGCTGCAGGAGGGCGCTCCCACGCCGAACCTCGCCTGCCGAGAACCTACCCGAGCCCTGTCCCCGCACTTAGCCCCCGGCCCCTCGCGGAGGCGGCTACTCGGCTTCTTCCGGAGGCCCTCCTGCAACCTCCGGAAGGCGGGCTCTCGCGCACGCCCGGCCAATCGGGAGCCGGTGTCGGGCATCCCGGGGGCCGCGGCGGCCCCTGAGTGGCCGGCGGCTGCAGTCGGGCCGCGGGTCTGGGTGTGGCACTGGACTTGTGGCCGAGCCTTGCCCTTGCCAAGTTGGGGCTGGTCTCCCGCGCTACGGGAAGTGGCGGCTCAGATGGTTTCGTTAAGTGCTTTATGGGTAAAGGTGGAGGCTAGGAGAGCCTTCGAAGCACTGCCTGAACCTCCCGGGAGTTTAAGAGGCTCTTGGTGGAAGACAGAACGACCAAAGAATGCTACAGTGTGATGTGACCACCAGGGGTGCGGGGTGTGACTTCGCTAACAGGATCTGTCCTCTCCTTGAACTCTGCCTCCTGCTTTTGTTATCTTGGGCACCTGGATGTGACCCTCTTCTCGCTGCCCCTGACTCTGTACCCCAAACAGCCTTTGCCTTCTTGACTTGCTCAGACTGCTAATATGCACCTAGGACGAGAAGGACCAACGCTGGTCTCTTGCTAGTATTTCTATCTTTTTCAAAATACTAGTTATCTCACATTAGGGTGAAGGATCTACCGGAATTTTTTGCAGTATCTTTGCAATTCTTTTCATTGAAAATTATCCCAAAATAAGAAAAATATTTTGGAGGATGGCTATAATGAAAAAGATAGATAATAAGTTTGGGGGAAGATGGAAGCTTCATAGGCTGCAGGTGGGAATGTGAGATAGTCTACGGCCATACCACCCTGAACGCGCCCGATCTCGTCTGATCTTGGAAGCTAAGCAGGGTTCGGCCTGGTTAGTACTTGGATGGGACAGCCATTTTGGAAAATGGACTGGTAGTTCCTCAAAAAGTTAAATACAGAGTTATTACATTAACCATATTAACCCGCAATCCCACCGCAGGTATATATCCAAGAGAATTGAAAACATATGTCCACACAAAAACTTGTACAGGAATATTCATGACAGCATTATTCATAAAAACCAAGATGTACAAATAACCCAGATGTGCATTAACTGATGAATGGATAAACAAAATGTGGTATAGTCATACAATGCAGTATTGTCAATAAAGAGAAATACAGCAACACGGATTGGACCTTGATAACATTAGGCTTAGTAAAAAAAAAAAAAAAGTCATAAAAGTCACATACTGTATGATTCCATTTATATAAAATGTCCAGGATAGTCAAATTGATAGAGATAGAATGAAGTGGTTGCCTAGGGCTGGGAGGGTTGAGAGAAATGGAGAGTGACTGCTACTGGTTACAGGTTTTTTGTTGTTTTTTTTTTTTAAGATTTTATTTATTTGACACAGAGAGAGGGAGAATGCAAATGGAGCCTGAGAGGGAGAAGCAGACTCTCCGCTGAGCAGAGGGCCCAATGTGGGACTCGATCCCAGGACCCTGGGATCATGACCTGAGCCGAAGGCAGACACTTAACCAACTGAGCCACCCAGGCACCCCTGGTGTATGAATTATATCACAATAAAGCTGTTATGAAAAAGAAAAAGAAAAAAAAACATTGCTGTCTTGTTCACTGCTAAATTCCCAGTGGTGAACGCACAACCTGGCACATATTAGGTACCCAATAAATATTTGTTGAATTTGAAATGCGTGTATGTGTATGTATGTGGCCATCTCCAACTGCTGCCCATAGGCACCCATACTTACTGAGTCAAAAAATGAATTCCTGATTTCTCCAAATTAGGAGGGCCTGTGGAGGAAAATACCCATAAACTCCATGAGGGCAGGGACCTTGTCCACCCTTCTATCCCCGGCTCTCATAACAGTGCCAAACTCGTAGCAAATACCTAATAAGTATTTGTTAATAAATGTTGAATATGGAGTCTAACCTAAATTCTGGCTAATAGAGTGCTTGGCCTATGCTTGTTAATGTTGAATTCAAATCTAAAGATGAGGCCCTATAACCATTTAAACGGGTATGAGCCTTGGTCAGTCTTCATATTGTGAAGAAAAGATCCCTAAGAGAGGCACAAAGTCCTGGGGGCTTCAGATGTAGCAGGAGTCAGTGTAGTTAGGGATGTTCAAAGGGGCCTCAGAAGGAAAGAATATTTGATATATGGGTAAAATTGATTTGCTATGTGAGTCAAGTTGGCAGGTGAAAAGGATATACCCAGTGGAATTGTAGGAATAAAGGTATAGGGGCAGGAAACTGGAAAATGTATTTGGAAAATCCAGTTTGATTTTCCAACTTTGCCCATAAGTTAAGGAACTGGGCTAGTTGGGTCTGTAGGTGCTCTTTTGTCATTGAGGAAATTTAAGCATGCCTAAGATGTCATTTGTTGGATTTGCACAATTCGTACTTATGGCCACATTGAGCTAGTGCCCTACATCTGAAACCTTGTATGTCCATAACCCACTTTCTGATAGTCACTTCTTTTTTATTTCTCTGTATGTTTTAAATTATATAAGTAATACATGAGTACATTCTCATCATAAAAGATTAAAACAAGACAGTCAATCCAGCCATTCCACTTCTGGGTATATACCTAAAAGAATTGAAAGAAGGGATTTAGGGGTACCTGGCTGGCTCAGTTGGAAGAGCATGCAACTCTTGATCTCAGCGTCATGAGTTCGAGCCCCATGTTGGGTGTAGAGATTACTTAAATAAACACTTAAAAAAAAAAAAAGCAGGGTCTTTTTTTTTTAAAAAAAGATTTT